TTTCAAAAGGTCTTCTGAAAAGAAAGATTTAGTATAATACTACTACCTGTGAGCAGTCTTAGGAATAAGAATAAAAATAACATCATCTTAAAAAAATCAAAGAAAATGATCCCTCTGAAACAGAGCGTAAAACAAGAATGAGGAAATTTACTAAGAGGAAAGCAATACGTTCCTGACACTTACAGGACTAGCATTAGTGCAAATATAACCATTATATCGTGAAGGAATGTTCAAATATTGTTAATTATTCGATGTGGTTGAAAAGAGAAAATGTTTATATAATGTGAATATACTGAGACCAACTCTACAATGAGAAAACATGCACGCATATGTTTGTATGAGAGAGAAAGTATGTGTGAGTTTAAGCAGGCGCGTGTATGCTATTCCGCGCGATTCCGAGCGTGCATTTGGCTATGTATGTGTGCACGCGCGATATAAACATTCCCCTAAAAAGAACCTCATGATTCATACGCAAACTTTCCTGATTATAAATTAAACAAAGCCTCCCGTCCACTTTGCTCCCGCCGTCGCCCCGAAGGCGCGCAAACTGAGCTCCAGCCCCGCAGGTAAAGCAATAAATTTCTCTTTGCAGATCGAACGACGTCGTTTTAGCCGTCCGTCTTTGAAGCCGCGTGAGGGGCGTGGGAACGCGTGAGTCTAAAAATGACTCTACATTAGAGCGTTTGTTTTGTGTGTGCAGCGTGAAATCATAAATAGCGTAAAGAGCTCCTGCCTTTGATGTCACCGATAACGTGCCTAAAATAAAACAAAGCAAGACACTTCTCGAACCCTTGAGCATTACTATAGACATAACAAGATTCCTGAGTACGAGTGAGCGAGCCAGAGTGACGTATGTCTATCCCGAGAGAACGCAAACAAGCGAAAATGACTCTTCTAAGTAACTGCAACATGGCAACATTGCAGTGTAGGGTGTCTCTGCAAGATAACAATATAAACTGACGTAGAGAAGGCCCGTACAGGATGTACTTATAAGGAGACAGTAGATTATGATTATGAAGGGTGGCCGTACAGATGAGCTTGTCATGTGACTTTGTAGGGTTATTGTGCATGATGAATGTGCTGGGTGAATGAACAACAACACCCCTTCACGTCATTCACTTTGTACGTTCGCTTTACGCCATAATACCGTTCAAAATATCTACCGAGACTGTTGCGAAAAAATATTCACAGAAAATAAGAAATACACTTACATAAAAGATTGGCGCTTCATCATTATGACATTCTGATTGAGCAAACAACAAGTCTTCAAGTTCATCTTACAGCGTTAAGTAAGAACAAGACTGTAGTTGATCCCCGTTGCACCTTTGGAGATCTTCATTCAGGATGGAAAGTTGTCCAGATAAATGAAGAAATGAGAAAGTAAATCCATAAAAATAAGACGTAAACCTGGCTACCCAGAAGCATCAAATACAAACAAATACATGCACATTTATTAGTTACAACACGAGCCTATCCACTCTATTTGTAAACAGCAAAACATAAAATAAACAAACCTCTACTCCAGTTAGATTGTTCTTAACGTACATCAAGAGTCAAAATGTAGAACTCTTCATTCCTTCTGGTCAAGGGAGAAACAATTACAGAATTCGCCCAATAAAGACCTCCAGAGTGGCATTTAAAGAAAAATGAAAAGAAGTGTGCGAGTCGGAAGATAAGAAAATAAAAAAACAAAAAGGAAAAAGAACAACCCAAGAAGAGTCGGTTAAGGACTAAGTCACTAAGGTCTTTATCTGCGCCCGGATGTTATCAATTGATTTAGCGACACCCCCGCACTCTCCCTGGCCCTCTCCCCCCTCTCCCCCCACCCAACCACCAGATGACGTACATCCATGAGCTAACTATCGCCCTTCCCCTGTCCCCTTCTCTTGAGTGATGCACACACTGAACGCTCTCGCTACTCCTCGCCCTGAACCCGTTGCCCTTTTCGCCTTGCGTTCGCCTCTCCCCTTAAGCCCTCGCGCAGACCCTTTCCTAACCCTCGGCGTTCTCGCTCGCAGCCCCTCACGCGTCCGATAACGCGCGCAAGTCGGCCGCCGTTGTGATCGGGTCTACCCAGTGGCCGCTCGGGAATGTCTTAGGGTCGTGTCAGGGTGGCATTTGCTGCTCAAGATCCGAAAAAAGAAAAAAAGGTCCTTTGTAATTCATACAAGTAATGGAAAATGATGATTAAGTGCCTCTTAAAACATAAAACAGTAAGTAATCTGACGGTATGATCTGCCCCAGCGAAAAGGCAGTCAAGAGAACGACCGCCTGTGGACACCACGTGTGCATTGTCCAAGAGCCGAAAGCATGCCAGCCTCGGCGCAATACCTACCATGAGCGGAGGCGAGCGACAGCCGAGGCGTGAGGAGAGTGTGGAGAAAGAGGAGGAGAAGGAGAGGTGGGAGGAACAACTGACAGTGACGCATGCGTACTCCAACGATGACGTCATGGTGACTCCGGGTCCTGCCATCACCAGCCATCCCGCACTCCGAGCAAC